TATGAACGAAACAATTCTAACCTATGGCAGCCGAGGATCTGGCCTAGTCCATTTGATCCATGAAGTAATGAATTTCTTATTGTTCAGGGGCTGTATTTGTTTCTGGTTTTGCATCACAGTCTTTGGAACCCTCCGTGTTTACCACCGGCCTCTCTTTTGTCTTCCCTTTAGTCTCTGGCCTTTCAATTCTGTTTCCTGTACTAATACAAGTCTTTATGTCATTGAAAATTAACAATACCAAAGCAGTGCCCTGCCAGAGCAGAGCAGATCAATGACCCAGGAGCAGCATGTTCCAGCTCAATGGTGCACAAGTCATTTTAACTTCCACTCTCCAGTGCTCAGCCTCCAAAGGAGCAACCCTTTTGCCCGGTATATTAACTTCTGGAAACTCCTTGTTAATCACTGTGGCTGCAGTTGCTGCTCTGAATTTTCTCCTAAGACCTGATTGCAGCTTCTCATCAAGCTAAACCACTTTTCTTTTGCCTTTCTTTCCATCTCGCTGTGTGTTGTCAGTCAGATTAGCAGCACAGCTGCGGTGTTCTATACAGCGGTGCTGTGATGTAGTGCTGACTGTTAGGTTTACCTTACAAAAACCAAACTAACTATTGGAAAATAAGAAGTCTTATGGTGTAAAGAGACACTGCTTCACTAACAGGACAAATCTTATATTAAAAAAAAAAAAAAAAAAAAAAAAGGCATATATACAGTAGTCTCCAAAACATGGAGAAAAATAGTATCATCAGAGAGAATAGTATCGTCAAACTTTTTCTTTGCTGGCCTTCCTAGAATGTATATAGTCTTCAAATATAATATTAGAAGGATGGCATATCTAAAGGCAGTAATTAAAATTCTGCATGCAGACCTGCACTAGAGTTTATTGATGGGGCTAAGATCAGAGTGATCCCTGGACTTAGAGGGTGCAGGATCTTCCCATGACTTTGGAATTACCACATAGCAGTTTGGCCCACGGGTTCAGGGGACACTTGGTTTGGAGCTGCGCCTTCCTTTGCAGTCATCCCTGAAGTCTGCCTCCTTTCATCAGGGAATTCATGGAGATGTGGGGTGTGAATGCAGAAGCACTTTAACCACTGAAGCAGGAACTTTTCAGCTCAGACATTTCAAACTGTATTTTTGCCTACAAAAAAGGAAGTTGTTACGGATTTGGTCTAGGGAGACGTTTCAACCTTTTTCTCAACAAAAAATTTCTTTTTATGATACTGGTGGGATTTATCATCGCAAGAAGTAACAACTGGGGCTCTAGAGAAAGACATAATGCTGTTTCATGGAGGATTTGGATATTTTGAAATTTGATCTTGCTCCAAGTCAGAAGGAAACCAAGAGTATTTAAGTTTTCATGAAAGAAAAGGGAAACCTAACGCCAGGAGAGTCTGTTAAAGCTCTGGCATCCTCCTTCTGAAGCTGACTCTCAGGAAATGGGATGGCTTTCCACCGTGTCTTTGCAGAGCTGGAATATTTGTCTCAAGCATTAACAAAATAACAAGATAAGAGAATTCCAAGGGGAAAGGTTGTCTATAGAAATTTATTGACCACAGTGCGAACACAGCTTTTCACTGAAATCACAAGACACTAACTCTTTTCCTCAAGGGAAATTAGAGCTTTTCACACATTCTTCACTGGGGTGCTGAAAGAGGCAGGAGAAACAGAGGACTATCACATTTATAAATAGCTGAATTGAAAAAAACAACACACAACACCACATAGTTAGAGACATGCTATCTTTCTTCCACTTTAGTGGCCTCATTTCCAGCCACGGACGCTCGGTCTGAATGGCCAGGCGGCACAGGCGTAGCATGTGGCATGAGGCCGTGGTTGTCGCCCTGGTCCTCACCAGCCTCCCTGTCCCAGGAAAACTCAGTCAAATTTATTGTCAGAGTATAAAGCTGAAATATTGTTTCACCAGGATGTGGATCTTTTACAATAGATTTCTGTCAGGATCTCTTTCCATTTGGAAACAGCAAAGATCCAGTGTGGAGGGTGCTGTGGGGCTGCAGGGCGGAGCGGTGCCCTCCCTCCCCTACCAGCCCTGTCCCGCAGCCCCTAGCGAGGGAAGCTGGGCCGGGCCAGGGACTGTGACCGAGGCTGGCCACAGCCCCGCCATCCCCTGGCGTGGGGAAAGGGCTGCAGCAGGGCCGGGCCCGAGGGCGAGGCCCCGGGGCTGGCGGCAGCCCCCAAGGAGGCCTCTCCCCAGCTACTCCCTCGCAGCTGCCGGGGCCATCGCTGAGCCCTGCGCCCGCCACTGCAGGGCTGTCTCCCTGGGCACCGCGGAGCGAAGGGCCTGGACAAAGGCAAAGGCGTTGTTGCAGTGTTTCTCCTTTCAGCTGCCAGACCGGCTCTAACGGGGGTCTTAAATCCCCGGGTGATGATCAACAGGACAGAGCGGGGATGTTTCCCTTCACCAAGGCTGTATCACTGACAGAGCCAGGCTGGTTTCACAGTGGCGGTGGTTCAGGGTAGCTTTCGCTAACATGGTGCACGCCGAGCTCCCTGAAGCAGGCTGGGATGGCAGCCCTGTCCCCAGCTGGGCAGCAGCGAGCTGGTGGGAGTGGGGGCGGTTTGGGCACCCTGGGGTTGGCCCGCTGGCAGGAGCAGGGTGCGTGCGGTGCGGCACCCAGCCCCTTTTCCCCGGCGGCACCTCCCCTCACAGCTGGGGAAAGGGGCCGGGTTCGCTCTGCCCTGGGGATAGTCTTCCAATGCCCCCGGAAATGCCGCGGCCCATGGCGGTTCCTGTGGAGAAACCACAAAACCGACCGAGGACAAAGAAATCCATCATTAGCTTCAGACTGAGAATAAATAATACTAATAATATGTAAAGAGCATCAGCTGGATGTGGAAACGAACTGTCACTTCACTATGAAGGATGCTCTTGCATATACAAGAACATAATTCACAACAATATCCTTAAAAAGATAGCAAGAATTTAAATGCATGTGTATGCTTGGGTATTTAATGCACCATGCAGGCATCATATTTCTTTCATATTTTAAACACAAATCATAGCATCTTCTTTAATGAGCAGAGATCCATGGCAATGATGAATTTTTATGGCAAATAGCACTACTGTGCCATGCTTCTTCATTAAAGCCCTGATTCAGCAAAGCATTTAAGCATATGCTTAACTTTAAGCATCTGAGTAATCCCCAAAATTTCTGGTGCCACGCACATGCTTAATTTTCGCTAGGTCCATAAGGAATTTGCTGTAATTGGGTCATATATACCAAATATAACAACCCTGTATATACAGGATATCCTGCCTAAAACAACTGGTTAAAATGTTAGATGCTTCATTAGCTCTGCATTAGTAATTTTAATTTTTGCTGCCTCTTTGATTTGTGAAGAATGAATGTGTATGCACACATGAAATCAAGACCTGAAAAAATGATGAAGGTAAAAAAAATAAAGGCACGTTGTGGGTTCAGGACATCTATAATAAACCTGAGCTTCATCAGCATTTCTAAATTTTTTAACCAAGAAATATTGATTCATGTTTGTTATATTTTATGGCACTTTACAACAATTTATAACACTTACATTAAGGAATAGATGGGCCGGGATAAAAGCCAATATGGGTATGAAAAAGATGAAGTGCTGTCAGGAATAGCAACTTTCAAGTATCAGGTACAGCCCTTGTTTTTACACTTTATCTCGCCCATTTAATATATGATGGAAGGGTTTCATGATTAATTTTAAAATACAAATTCTAGAAAAAGACATGCTGTAGAATGGCCACCTGAAGAACATCTTAGCAATGATATTGTTTCAATATAAAGCCAAATGTAAAATGTCCTCAAGTAATCTGTAACTAAAGAACGAAGCTGTAATAATCATTGCACAGAACCAGTGTTGAAAATGTTGAAGAAACAATGAGCTTAGGTTTCAAAGGTGAACTAACCACTTAAAAATTTTTTTTCCACCAGAGCTGGTCATCTTAGCAATCAAGAGAAATTAGTTAGAAAACCAGTTTTGTGCACAAAGTCCCTTGTTGCTATGTTACCATAGATATTTATACGAGAGAGTGTCTCCCAGCGTGAGCCAAAATCTGTTCATGTAAATATTCATAAGCCAGGTAAAACAAAGAAGTAACTAGGAATATGTGGAGTCTTCACCAGGTTTCCTTCACTCTCTACAGTTATCTAGTCCAGCTGCTCTAGGACCAGCAGTCAGACCCGTTCATTTCTGAGCTAAATGATGGGGATTTCTTCTTCTACCATCCCAGCTGGCAGGCATGGTCCAGGTTCTCAGCAGTTCTGGAAGTGCTGAAGGATCCTGTGAAACTGAAACACTGACTGAGGCTGCTTTGTAAGCCTGCCCATAGCACAACAAATTGAAGAAATTGCAAGGTACAGGCAACGCTTTAAAAATGCATGCAGTATATCCCTGTCTGATTTTGTGTGCTTCTGCTATCCCCCGTTCTTAAACAGAAAATTCACTCTCTGTGAGAGAGGCACTGTGATAATCCCAAGGTAATTAGACAGCAAAGAAATGTATTTGCTGCTGCAGTTTGGAATAGTCGATTGGTTACTGCAGATGTTAGAAAAAGCTTGTAAATGGTGAGAGCCCCAATCTGTAGTATATGATATCTGTCCCTCATTTCCCAAGATTGCTAAATTAATTCTTTGACATTCCTTGATTTGCTGTCTCTAGGGACACTGGATTTTTCCTTTGAGCTTTGCCCATCTATTTGTCCCTTTCCTGTGGCCACCTTGTGCTCTTTCTTCATCCTTGCACACCTTTCTGGAGACCCATAGGGAAAAAGATATGAATGTCAGGCATTTTCCAATTTGGAAAATGCTAAATAAACTGGAGCCTTATAGGCTTGTTACCCTATGAAGACAGCCTATGCTTTACGTATGTAAATGTACAACGAAATGATAAAGAAATTGTGTACATTTGGCTCACGTGCTTCATTAGTTTGGCGGCATATATTCTGGGAGCATGCTATATTTTCAGTGTCATCAGACATGAAACGACAGCGTGCTTTGAACTAATGCATTTGATTGGTATAGTGATAGAAAATCAGCTGAACACGACAAATGTAAAATAGAAGACAGGAGGTCTAGTAAAAGAGAAGACGTGAGATCCACTAACAGCCATCTGACACGGGGAGCCACGTGGATTGTCTTTTGATGGAAACTGAACAGTGTCCTTTGTGTTGCTACAGTGCCCGGCTCTCTGTTCCCTCACCTTTCTGTCGTCCTTCTAGTCATCACCGCAATAAGTTTAGCTAGGGTGGGTATTTCATATCTTCTTCTTAGTTGTGATGATGGCTGGGACCTAGTGTTTAGCAAGGTGTAGGAGCAAACATCTATCACACAGTCTATAACAGCACAAAGTGTATCTTAAGCAGAGACACCTCGTACATTTTACACGATAAATCAGCAGCATATAAATACCAGCATATAAATTCTAGCATATATACTTGAATGTATTGCCAAAAGCTGGCTTTAAAATTATTATTATTATAATGCAAGTTTGGGTCCTAGTCCTACAGCCTGATCATGGTACCCAGGAGTCTTGCATCTGTTCACGGTTGTATTCTTTTTCCTCAGTCACAGCAGTTCAGTGGTCCACCTACACGGAGCAGAATTTAAGACTGGGGCCCACATTTATGCACCATCTGCCCTTGGTCATGCATGCCAACTTTTATAAAAATTAATCACTTTATCTCTCTGAAGAGCTCCCACATGAAAAATGCCCCCATGTAAGTTTGGAACTTACAATGCCACTTTATTTTTTTTAAATGATCTGTTTTTACTGGGATTTTTTTTTTCTTGTACTAATGTTCAGTATGACATTATTTTAGGTGGAAGATGGCAACTCAGCCTGAGGCATGACAAAATAGCCAGAAACGCACCACCTGCTGTGCCCCATTGCTTTAATATTGTACTGTTTAATAAGAAAATGACCCCAAGTGCTTGGATGACAACTCCAAAATGGACCATAAATATTCTGTACATAAGGAAAAGCTGAAAGCTAAAGTACACTGCATAATATTGCTGTGGTGCAAAAGGGAATAGGAATACATTCAATTTGCCTAAGTATCTAGTAGTGACAGCCACTAACATTTGTTTAGGAGAAACACCAAGTGGATGTCTGTTTGTTAATAAATGAATGAAAAGAAATATGGATTACTGTGCAAATGGACATTAGAGGAGCACAGATTTTGGTTGGATGTGTAAGTCACATAAAGAACCCAATTCTGGGCACTGCTAAGTGATTCTTGCAAAATGCTGAGCCCCGGCTAATTTCAGTAGGAGTTGAGCAAACTCAGCACCTGGCAAGGATGGGTCTATCTATATTTAAATATGGAATGAACACTCATCCAAGTGGATTCACTTATGATAAACTGATGCAGCCTAGAAATTACATGTTTGGTTAAATTGGGGAAATCGCAAAGAGGGAGACGCTCAGATAAGCAGTGATAATGGGTACAACAATGTCTGTTTCCTCCTTCTGATCTTGGGTCCTCCCTGAGGATTCTCTCCTATCCTGCATTAATTAAGAGAAAGCATGTGACATTTCTTGCAGCCTTTGACACCAGGATGACCTTTCCCTAGGTTGCTCATGAACTCCTGCTGACATCAAACATGCTTTTTACTGTACAGGACCCTTTATCCACCAGACGTTCATAAACAATACTGAGTAATATTCCTGACCAATTATTAAAATGCACAAAGAAAAGTTATGCCGTTATGACAGATGACTGAATAGTTCATAGGGAATAATTTGTTTGACGAACAGGAGCTTTTATTTCAGTGATCCAAACACTGTTTAAAAATGTATTCCTCACTTGATCGTGTTCAGTTGCTGCAAATAAGTATTGGTTGTTAGATTGTTTTCACGACTTCTGTCATGAGCGTGTGGCATTTAAACCCGCTGGACAGAAGGGCCAGGGGTCCTGGGTTTGCTTCCTGAGTGGATATGTGTAACTCTTTTGAATCTAGCTCATTGTGTAAAAGTAGGTTCACTTTACTGTTCCTTCATACTTTCTAAAATTTTTGCGAAAACTTTAAAAATAGTAATTTCAGGTTCTGCTAAGCTGTTAGGGAACTTGTCTCCTAGAACATTAAGGGAAATTAAATACAGAAAGAGCACACAGATGTGGTCAAGACAGATGGAACATTTATCTTTTTTCCCAAGTATCTACAGAGCAGTTTCTGACGTGTTCACCTCTGTTTAATCAGTCACGTTCTCAACATTTTATTACTCCGAGAGTTTGAAACAGCATGGTGTTGCACATTAGGAGATATTCCCAGAAGTTTAAACTCCCACCAAAATTACAAGTGGAATTTCCATTATTTGACAAAAAAAAGCCCCCAGCAGCTGAACAAAAGCAAATATGTATGTAACTGCATACCTAAGTACTCCCTCAGAGTATGTGTATAGCCAGCAAACACAAGGCACTGGCATCTGCTGTGGGAACGTGAGGCCTTAGTGTGGGCAAATTGGAACGGGCCATGTGAGGCTGAAGTTCATGTTGCTTGTGCTGATGACTCTCTGTGAGACACCTTGACTCCAGGTTATCTCTGAAAGGTACACGTGCTGTTGGGCACACATTCCCAGTATGCCAGAGATTAAAAAATAAAGTGTGGTGAGAGATGCATGAGAGAGGCAGCATTAAGCTACACTCAAGTATATCCTCTTTGCAAATATATGTCTTCTGGCTCTATGTAGAAAATGTCCTGCCTGGTAATGGGTGGCATCACAGAGAGAAGCAACACTAAATACCTGTTGATAAAACAGGAATAAAAGCAGTCAGTTAAGACATTGCCACTTGTGCTTGACTTTGCTTTTAATTCTGTTCATGCTGGCCCCTGCAACAAACGGCTTCCCATAAACTTTAGTTTATCCTGATCAAACTCCTCCCTTACAGTGGTTTGCAGTGCATTTACGGCGCAATTATCCTTCCCTGTCATTCTTGTTTGTGTTAGCTGAGTGTGTCAAGTCAGTTTTAAGTAAAGTCAGAGAGGAACATGGATAAAGGTGGGGTCAGTTCCAGTTCCCACGGATCTTTCCCATATTCTCTGAGCTCTGTCTTGGAGCCATACTCAGTGTGGTTCCTGTAACACTGTGGCACAGAGCCTCATTGTAAGAGAACTCCATGCCATGCCATTGCAGGGAGGAGTAGGTACATTACAACTTTGCACAAATATGCAAGTGTAGGAACGTCCCGCTGTCAAAGGACAGAGGGCCCAACTGCAACATGAGGTAGCTCTGGGTCACAGTCTGGACTCTTGCCCTCGCAAGTAGTGCTGCTGAGGAAGGCGCGTGAGTCTGTGTGGCTGTGGGGCCCCAGTTAGAGCAACAGCGTCAAGAGAAAATATCCCCTGCAATCATTTCTTTGTGTGTTTGCTTGGTTTTTGTTCCATGCCAGTATCTTTTCTAAAATCGTTTCCCTATCACATTTTCTGACATTCGATTTTACATTGCTGGTACTGTAAATACTTTCTGGTGTATCAGTTAGGCTGTTTGGGTGAGTCACTGTAACAAAACGGCTATGTCATAGGGAACTGATATCCCTCTTGCAGTGTATTGCTGTTCCAGTGAATGCACCAGCAGAAGAAATTTGTGTGGGTGGTATCCACATCGCCCTTTTACCTCTGTTTTCTCCTCTGTGGGCTTTGCTCCTGACCCACGGCATTCCAGCTGTGGGCATCATTCTTCCTCGTTGCACGCCTGCTTGATTGAAGGTAGCTGCTTTATTTTAGCATCATTTGTATGCACTCTCACTTGCTCCCCATTCAGCTTGCCTTCAACAACTCCAGTACATGCAGACTCTTCTGTGTCGGTGCCTTTCATCCCAAACAAGTCCACCTTCTTGGTTGTTGCTTTGGTTTTGGTTTTTTTTTTTCTCTCTTAGTATGACATGGCAGTTCACTTGTGTTAGGAGAGAACTCCTCTACTTCCATTACTACACGGTATAAAGCCTGTTCAACAAGCCCTTTCTAGATTCGAACATAGATAGCTGGTATCTCCATCTTTGCTGGAAATCAGCTGACACAAATTCTCAAAGGAAGATGTTAATGAGATTTCAGCTGAAAGGCTCTTCTTTGGACCTATGCATGTTTGTCGGTACGTATTGTCACAAAAGCTGTATGGTCACAAAGAGCCATTGATGAGCCTGGTACAGCCATTTGATCACCTATTTTACTATTATCTTCATTCTCAGTGTTTAAAAAAAACATTGTCTTGGCCATTTTAAAATTGCGCAAGTACAAAAAAGTATATGCTGAGTGGTTTAAAAGCATTCTTTTTAAATCATATATAAATTAAAAGCTGCTTAATTTAAAAATGTATCTTTGGCTGAGGTACTTAATGTTGGAAAGTGGTTACTCAGCATGTAAAGTACCATAAGTACTCTTCATAAGAATTTTTATGACTTAACAAATTTTTAAAAATGGTTATTTACACAATAGTTCCTGATGGCTTGCCATTATAGTTTACCAGATCAATAATCAATGTTCTTAAAAGTCACTTAATTCAAATTTATAGAATCCACATTATAAAAAAGCTCAGGTAATGTATATTTACATCAGAAAGCTTAATAGCTCCTTTAAAACTGTTAAGGTGCTCTTGCAGTGTTGAGCACTTCTATGAAGGATTTTTCCATTATTTAGATCCCTTAAAACCCAAAGAAATTAATGCCACCAAACTTCCCTGAGGTGGTGACAAGTCATGTCTGATGATAAGGACTTTTGACAAGTTTTTGAATGGCGGGAAGTGGCAGGGTGTGACACAACTTTACCTTTAAGAATATGTCAGATTGAAAGATGTGGCTTGATAGCTTTTTTGGTTTCCTACAAATCCTCTGTACTGGAGTGCTGGGTCACAATTGCTGGGTTTTCAGTTGTATGGTTTCATGGACTGTGCTTTGTTCGTCAACCGTATTTTAATTAATAGCAAGAATGCCTACTGCCCAACTAGGTATTCTTTGAAGTTTTAAATTAAAATACCTTAGATATTTGGCTTAATAACAGTTTAGTGCCTTAAAATTACAGACTTCATGTTTATACTACAAGCTCTGTCATGCTACAATTGAATATGCCCATTAGCATGAGTGGAGCAGGATCTTACTTCGAGAGAGATTCTTTTCCCACTAAGGGCTTTATCCTGACATCTGCAGTCATGAGAGAGCAATCCCATTCGATTTTAGTGGGTTTGAGTAGGTGCCTAGTGATACTTGTGGGGACACTGGAGGGTCAGGTCTTGTTTTGGTTGCTGTTTAAATGTCAGCACTTGTCAACAGTTATCACAGCAGTATTAGGGACCTGTACTTCTTTTTCCCTACCTACAATAAGGATACCATATATTACACATGATGATGGTTAGCAAATGTTGACTTCTGCTCTATTCTTTGAAATGTTTATTGAAGTCTGAGACTGTAGGCACCTAACAGTTCATTTAAATGTGCAGCAGTCACAGCTGTGCCAATTTGATGTTTGCTAACATCATGCTGTTGAATTTTCAAATGTACAAAAATGAGGGAAAACCAGAAAAAAAGCATCCCCCCCCAATAGCAACTGTAATTGCCACTGTGGATAAGTCTATAGCGAAGATGTTCAGGCATATACTGAGAAGCAGATCTTATACAGTCTTGGCATGGTTTTCTGTTCAATTTAAGCTGAGGCCAGCCATGCAGAAAGAGGAAGAGTTGCCTTGTCTCAGCCGAGGCCCCGTGTCCCCACAGTTCACGTGGCTCTAGGAATGCTTTGGCCACAAAATGAGTTTGGTCAGCTG